TCCATCAACCTGACAGGCGGTCTCGCCCAGGACAAGCAGACGTCTTCATTAGAGGCCTACGGTCTAGTATTAGCAGCCCAATGTGTCAGTCTTGTCCCAGCTGCGCCTTCAGGCTATTTTATCATTCCTAAGTCAGCTTTCCCTGAGCCCAGGAGTTGTGAACTGAACTAATGAGCTTAGTCTCAATTTTATTTTGTTTTATTATTATGTATGACTTCTGTCATTGATGTAGGTGCCATGGTGGGGTGACTTCTAAAACTTTTCACTTTCATGTAAAAGTACACATGACACATTTGTGTTCTATTCTGTCCAGCCCCACTCATCATTTTGAAACCATCTATCAGATCTCCCCTCAGCCGCTGCCTTTTTAATGATCTTTGCACGTATGTCTCAAGGTCCTGTAACCCCTTTTAAATTGGACCTACTACTATATATTGTTTTCCAATGTTCTTCCTACTAAGTGCATCACCGAACACTTCTCTGCATTGAGCCTCCTCTTCCACTATGCGGCCTACTCCAAGAATGTGTCCATGTTCTTGTTGGATTTTCACAATGTTGTCTTACAAGGTTTGGATCATCTGGAAACATTGAAATTTCCCCTGCACAACAAGATCTACATCAATAATAGAAGTCAGGAAAAAACAAGGCTCCCAATACCACCTTCTGACGAACTCCTCCACAAAACTTTTCTGAAAAACATCATTTGAGCATGACTCTCTGAGAAACATTTTTGTATCCATATTGCTTATGTCCATTTTATACCATGACACATAGCTTTTTCCTCAAGTCTGTTGTGCAGCACTGTATCAAACACCTTCCATGTAAACAACATCAAAAATGTTAATCCAATCAAACCTACCTGTTACCTCTTCAAAATATTCCAACAAGCTAGTTAAACGTGATTTTATAAATGGGAAATCCCCATGCTGGTACTTCCTTTACATAGTTGTGTCAGAACCAGCACTAGGCATGCCTAAAAATGAGGGGTAAATCTGGTGAAGCTACACACAGGACTAGATAATTCCAAAACCAAAGGATCTGACCATATCTCCCATTTTGCATTGTTGCCACATCAAATTGTGAATAATAGTGGACATTTAAAGAAGTCACTGGAAGAGAAAGCCCTTCCAATATCCCTATCTTCACAAACTGGGGAGCCAGCACATCAGTGTAAAAGATAATACTGTTGCAAATGCTTCAGATAGAAATGATGAGTGGATGAACCCAGAGGGTTGCATCATCAAAGATGCTAGTCTTCAGCAAATTCGATTTGACCCTGCATGATATCAGGAAACAGTTGGAAGCACTGAAAACTGTAGTGGCTATGGGGCCTGACAATATTTCAGTAATAGTCCTGAAGACTAGTGCTCAAGAACTTGCTGCACTCCTAGCCAAGCTATTCCAGTACTGGTACAACACTAACCATCTACCTGACAATATGAAAAAATGTCCAGTGTACATAAAGCAGAACAAATCCAACCCAGCCAATCACCACCTCATCCATCTACTCTGCCACATCAATAACGTGACAGAAGGTGTCATCAACAGTGCTATCAAGCAGCACTTGCTTTCTAGTAAGCTGCTCGCTAATGCTCGTATCGTGTTCTCCCACGGCCACTCAGCTCCTGACCTCATTACAGCCTTAGTTCAAATATGGACAAAAGAGCTGAATTCCAGAGGTGAGAGGAGAGTGACTGCCCTTGACTTCAAAGCTGCATTTGACTGGTAGCATTGAGTAATCTTTGCAAAGCAAGTCAATGGGAACTGTCATGGGGGAGCACCATCCTCTCTGGTTAGTCAGACCTGGCACAAAGGAAGATGGTTATGGTTGTTGCTCGGTCATCTTGACTTCGTAAGGTCTCTGCAGGAATTCCTCAGAATAGTGTCCTACGCCCAACCATCTTTAGCTGCTTCATCAATGACCTTCCCTCCATCATAAGGTCAGAATTGGAGGTATGGAGATGATTGTGCAATGTTCAGCACCATTCGCGATTCCTGAGATACTGAAGAGGTCCATGTTCAAATGTGACAATATCTAGGTTACTGCATAAAACAAAATACCAGTATTATTGTCCAGCACTACCATTTTCCAACCACTGAAATCTTGATGAATTTCCCTTTTGTGTCAAATCTTTAAGTTTTATTTGACTGCAGCTCCCCAGTCTGTCCTGTGAACTGTGAAGACGACTTACGTGAATACTTCAAAAACTGAAGAAGTAGGCTTTTTCAGTCTTTCAATAGCCTGCCATTTTCTCATCAAACTCTTAGTCTGAAGGTTTCACACACTACTCTAACACACAAAGGCGACTGAGCTTTCCCTGAACTGTCATATACTTTCTCACGATATTAGCCTCTGATCCAAGTCCAGTCTCTTTCGAAAATGCCCACAAAGCTTTCAATCGTAGGGATTTCTAAACTAAAATCAATCCTTGATTGCCTTTGGTTTGGAAACAATCTAATGCCTTCAATGTTTACGCCCTGGGGATTATAACAATCTTCAAGTGCCAGTGGAGTGTTAAATTAAGTCACATGATCTCTGACACACACTGAGGTCACTGCATTGGAAAGGATTCTTACCTTGGTTATTTTTTGTTGAGGGTTTATACTAGTTTAAAATCCACACTTTTTCAATTATATTAATATAAATATATATTTCTATATATACATCTCACCACATTTTTATCACATCAGAATGTAACATGGGTGCCCACTTCAGACTGAAGATTATCTGCATGATAGATCTCCTGGACAGTTGTCACCTCGTGGAATTGGGACGTTGAAACAAATTAGTGTAAAGAGATAGGGAGCTGTTGTGATTGCTATGGGATGAAAAGTGTAATCTTGGTCAATATTTGTTTCCTTGTGTGCTAGGGGTATTCTTGAACAAAAAAAATTCCTGAATTTCCTCCTCCATCTTTGCTCCAAAATCAGTATTCCAACTTTCTCAACTTTGTTCAAATCAGCAGGGTGTTTCTGTGATGCTCCCTTGTTTGTAGAATGACTCATCCCTTTACATAGTTGTGGCTGATAAGATTCAGCACTTCCCAGAGTGTGTAAGGTCATAGTAATAGCCAGGTGATTTATCAGTCTGAACCTGCCGCATTTCAAATGAGTGACTTTGTTTGAAAGAATGTTGTAAGATAAGTTTGCTCTGTATTAGAATCTTTGAGTTCTGCTTACTCGGATTGTTAAATGTGAAGATTGCTGAATTCCATTCCATTCCATTCCTTGGTTCCAAGGGCTCTGACTAAAGTGTAGCTTTCTCGTTTTGAATGTATTTCATTTTTCTTGTGAAAAGGGTAATATTTGCAGGAATGCCAACATCTATTGGGCACCTTTTCCAAGTGCCTACTTACCTGTTCAGTTTTCTGAGGCATCATCAATTATTTTGTGCTAGAGGCTGGAGTGGCATCCGTGATGTAAGCAGTGCTCTCTGTGTTGGTGACAGAAGTGGCATTTGAGCTAGTCTCCTCCTGACATTCACATGCTTATTCTTCTCCAGGGAGTAACTAAATGGAACTCTAGCAACAATCCTTCTTCTCCCTTCGAATAACTGGTGTAGACACCAAATGTAAAGGCCTTTGTTGCGGCCAACCTGGCTGAGGTTTAGGAAACTTGCTGTAGGCTGGGAATCAAACCTTGGATCATCTTGAACTGTGTAGCTCAGGCCCATATACCTGCTGGACTGTGGGGAAAGTTGCATTTTGTATCTCGGGCAAATTACAAAACCACCTTCTTTAACTTCCTTGCTTTGTTTCGCTGTTGGTTCAGGTTGATTTCAGATTTCCCTAGATTTGGTGTAAATCATTCTTGTAAATCTTGTTAAAAGCCTCAACTAATCTTTGTTTTCTAAAGGGGGAAAGACTTTGGAAATCTGAAGCACAAAGCAACTTGGACTTGGAAGTTCTAGTTCAAGATTCTCTGGGTTAATATGCAAGTTCATTTGGCAGTTAGGACAAATGCAATGTTAGCATTCATTTCAAGAGGGCTAGAATACAAATGCAGAGATATATAACTTCAGTTGTATAAGGCTTTGGCCGGACTGCATTTGCAGGATACTGAGAAGCCTGGATAGAGTGGGCATGGAGAAGATGTTTCCATTCGAGAAACTCTGACCTGGGGATACAGCCTCTGCGTGAATAGATGGCCCTTTTAAAACTGAGATGAGGAATTTCTTCAGTCAGAGGGTAGTGATTCTGTGGAACTGATTGCTGTAGAGGACTGTGGAGGCATCGAGTGTATTTTAGATGAGATAGGATCTTGATTTAGTAAGGGGGTCAAGGGTTAAGGGGAGAAGGCAAGAGAATGGGTTTGAGAAACTATCAGCCGTGATCAAATGTCAGAACAGACACAATGGGCTAAATGCTGTAATTCTGCTGCTGTATCTTGTGGTCTTATAGTACCTGAGTAAAATAAAGACATCTGCCTGCAGTTTGCAGCGATAGTCTAGTCTAGGCTGTCCTTTTCCAAGAAACGTTTCCAAAACTGATCAGTATTTGGCAATGCCAGTGGTGGTCTTGGCATTGCTGCAGGGCTGGTTGTATATGTGTTGCGCATTCCATTAATATTAAAGTTGAATGTCGGCAGTTTTGATGGATGTTAGGATGTGGGACTGCAACTCTGCTCAGGAACAAGCAGGCAATCTAGAATGTTAAAATACCCATAGGAATTGTCAATCACAGCTGAATAGTGAGGGTGTGGGGAGCACCACGTCACCCCACCTGTTACTGCTGATTAACAGGATGTGAAAGCACACTTTTTGAGACCATGTCTGACATGCATGCCTCTCTTTTTCGGTTCTTCCCCATGATGACTTTACTGTGAGACCTCCTAGAATTCACTGACTTGTTGATGGATATGGCATCTGTGTTTAAAGGTTCTTGGGATAAGGCTAACATATATTCCGTCTTCTATGGACTTGTTGTATTGCACCATTTTGTGTTCAAAGCCATATAAATACTGTCTTGTGTTGTGACCCTCTTTTGTTTCTCTCTGTGTAGGTTGGTGACTTAGTGAAGGTGACCAAGATCAATGTGAATGGCCAATGGGAAGGAGAGTGCAATGGTAAACACGGTCACTTCCCTTTCACCCATGTTCGACTCCTGGATCAACAGAACCCTGAGGAGGACCTAAGCTGAGTGCGTTTATTTTTAAAAACAATGATTTGAATTACAAATGGGAACAAGTTTTCTCTAGTTCATTTTTCTCCCCTGAAGACTTTTTGGCCCTTTTTGACGTTTACAGTAACCCAGTAAGATCACAGCTGGCTCAACTGAAATGCTCAGAGTCTGCAGCCTGCGGATCCCAGTGAAGAACTGTGCTGGTATACGTTTTAATGTCACTTCACATCTGACTTAATGATTTTGTTCATCAGTACTTGTGTTTATGGCACACAATGTGCTGTACAGCTTTCTTGGTATCTGTCCTGCTCCAGAGCAGCCAGTTAGAGAGCTGGCCTCACTCTAGTTAACACTAATTGATGTCCACACAAGTATCGGTTGGTTAGTGTGGGTGGATGTGTGAGAATATGTTCAAAAACAATGCTCCTCAGTGGCCAAGTGAATAATAAAACCCTTTTTTTTTTTTATTTTTGCAGTACCAAACTGTTCAGACCAGAGGCTGTCTGGTTGGATCCTTGTTCTGCATTGAGTTAGCAGAGATTCTATAATAGCCCTGAACCAGAGGATTAGGTGTAAGAGAGAGCTTCTTATCCAGTTACCCTGATCTAAGTAGCATATGTTGGCTTGAACAAGGACAGGATTCGTGTCTGCTGTGATGCTGTCTGAGGTTGAACAGCCTGCTAATGCTATACAGGACAAATGCCCATTTTGGATGCACATTTAGGGTTGGGGACTGATGCAGTGAAACAGTTTCCCACACCTGCACCAATCAACAGCCTTAGAGGGGTTCAAGTTTAATCATCCTGTTTGTTACATGTCCTCACACATTATCTTTACCATTCATTGTTGTAAATACTAAACACTACTGATTGGGAGAATATCTTGCTAATTTTGGATGATTTCAGGTACTTTAATAAGCAAATGAATATGTTCTACAATTTCAACACATGTTAAGACACTACATTTGTGTGGGCAACTGACCTGCCTAGACTACAGTTGGACCGTCAGCTGTACAATGCATGGAAACAACTCTAGTCTTTTTTTGTTTTGGAGAACTCAAATCACAGAAATGGTGCTTTCACAATCTCACCATGAGGCCAAGTCTAATGTCAAATGAAATGCTACTTTCTCCAGTTGCAGCCTTCTCCCAGACCTCAATTTGACAAAAACTAAATTCTGAAACAGTCAGGTCTTTATAAGAAATGTAAACATATTTTAAGTGCTGTCATGTCTGGGAGAGCTGCAAAATGAAACACTAAGTACAGCAGATAACGCTAAATGGGGAGAGGGTCAACAAGTTTCAGCCATGAGTTTTCTACAAATAATGATGTAGAAACTGTCCACCAAGACGACCAAGAGCAGTGAATTTCAAGTTTGTGCTTGAGCTCCTTGGTGGATCTGTGCCTGATGTTTAGATACACTTGAACGTTGACATTGCAGGACAGTTATTGAACAATGAAAGTGCTTTCCAGATCTATAACTTAGACTGTTTGGGATCCAAATGCCTTGTCTTCCCATCCTTGGTGTGAATAAAATTACATTACTCTTCTGAAACAAGTACAATTTCTACATGTGAAAAATCATGATAGTATGGGAAGATATAAAGAAAAGCTAAATACTGAGCATTCATCTGAACTGACTGGGTATTTAATGTCTTACTGATGTTAGGTTAACATACAGCATAGTCAAATATCATTTTAGCAGTTGTGCTCTAATTTCGAAAGCATTTGTTTTCCTTGAGTGCAGTTCTCATATGACTTTTCTTGTCTGACTTTAAACGCTCTTGTTTTGATTTCAGATTGTAATAATTTTTTTCTCTTTTTTTTTCCTCTGTGACATGGAACTGTAACAACATCAGGACATGGATGTTTCAGTAGCTTGTAGAATGTACCATGGAGAAATAGCATGTGGGTGGGATCAGGATTGGCCGCCTTCAGAGTTGGGACCCCTGTGAAAGGCTTCAAGTGTTAATTGAGAGGGTGGGAGAGACCATTCATTTCAATGGCATCTGGCTAGCAACCAATTTTTTTTTTAATCTAACTTCAGTTATTGCTATTTAAATCCTATCCTTCTGGTATCCTTGAAGATGTTTTGATTCTGTTTGCAGCTGTAGTTTACCTATGTCTTTGTCATTTGTGCTAGGAGTTAAATTTAATTCAAACCACCTGTGGAGATTACCAATGAGAAGTTGAACAAGAATTTAACATGTATTGTATCTCATGTCTACTATTAATTTTTTGCCTCACATCCCATCACTTGGACTCAGTGGTGTTGAGAAATTTCAGTTTCTTCATTTCCAGAAGCCATACAGATGTGTGACAAAGCTTAAAGCATTAGTCAGAAAAATTAGAGCTACGAAAAGGGTGGCACTGGTTTTTAACTGACATAATGAATGTTTTATAGTATTGCCTACAAAATGTATTTGATTTGGATCTTTATTTTAAAACCCCTTTTATATGAAAGACTGACATAAACTTGTGTTGAGGGGGTGGCTGGATGACATCTTGCCATTCTTCAAGTTCTCTAACCTCTGTATACACTCTGGAATATAAAGGAAAGCTGAATACCAATGTATAAAATGACTCTTTCTGAAGTCCTTGAGACAATGTTGAAATTGAAGTCAGTTGGTGTTTAACAAGTGCAGTGACTTCCTAATGTTCCTAAAATAACTTGTTATGCTCTTTTAAAAATCAATGGACAGTGGAACAGTAGGATTGGTATGCACCTGTTGGAGAAAAGTTGGCCATCAGGGAACAACTGTAACAGACCAACAGAGATCACATTTGCTGCTGAAGCAAAGGAGAATTTCTGGATAAAACCTTACACCAATGGAGGTAGAGCCAAACACACATCCCTCTTATTGGCTTCTTGCCTCATGAATAAGTAACTCTTTGCTCAACAGTGTTGATTAATGTGGACTTTGATTCCTGATGGTCGCTCTGCTCATCCCAGCTGTAATAATGCATCTGTGCCAATCAGTATTTTAATTGTGTATTAATTCATCATGGTCTTTTGGCACAATCTCGCAATCATGTCATGATTAAGCTTTCACTCCAAATTAATGTATTTGTCTCGCAACACTAGTGTGAATAGTATATAGCATTTGAAAGTTGAGTAAGGATGTTGAAGCTTTGTCTGTGTGATGGGAGGTGATGTTGATCACTTGAGCTGGGTCTCTGAGCTTGACGCAATTTTTTCTGTGCCACTCTGTTGTGTGCTATGATATTGCTTCAGTTGCCATTCAGCAATTTTTGTGCCAATTGAAGTTATTTTATCCAGTCCTATTACAGGCGCTATTCATACTGCAATCTGTTTAAACCAACCTTCTATGCTGCTTTTTGAATCACTAAAACTCAGTTCTATACTGAACTGTGCATACGTACACTAACTAGCACAACAGGGATGGGACCTGCTGAACCCACTACATAAAGTTGCCAAACCATTAGAGCCTCAATTCCAATAACCTTTTCTTTTTTAAAAAAAAAAAAAAACATTTTGGTCCCTTCCTTGTCCTTTAATGTACTTCGGGGCGAAGAGGTAGCAAACACACCTGGATTTCAGCTTTATAAAATATATTGCTACTATGAAGCCGCTGATGCTCTCAGTCCCTTCATTCTCCCATTTACTTGTTAAGCCCAGCACATTTTCCTGCTACTTGTAATGAGTCGTTCTGGGGCCAGAGGAAAAGGTTCAGAATGATCCTGAGATTAATGAAGGTGAGAAGTTGATGTACTGAGCTGCTCTTCACACTAGTTGCTATTACCCTAATAGTGCCTTTTAAACTGTCTTGTGAATTTAATCAGTCCAATTAACCCAACCCATTCTAACAGTTGAAGTTGCTGGCTGTTGTGTTAAACCAGCTGCTGGCTTAACTGTCTGTGGGTTGATCCTTTCTTTTCTGGAAAAAAAAAATCTATATTCAGGATTATCCGAACAACTTTCTTTAAATTCAGGACTAAAGGTGAGCAGTAGTGCTTTGTACTGGGGCAGCTATCAAAGAATATTAGCAGCAACTAGTCACTACACAACGCATCAAGTTGTGTAGCAATGGAGATATTTCAGCACATTTTCCATTTCTTCCAGTGCTGGCTTTGCTGCCATAGTGTCTATCACATTTAGGCTTTTTTTAATGGTCAGGATTTTCTGCTTACTTCTTGCTTGGCCTCAGATTGTCAAACATAATCTGAAACCCTGTCCTCTGGTCCAATGGGCTGCTGCAGGATTCTCATGCCATCTTGTTAAACTCTCTCTCACCTGATGAACTTAATTTGCCACATGTCTGTGGCCAATTTGCCAGATGTGGCAAGTGAATTGGACAACTCTAGACCACTATCTGCCTCCATTTTATTGATTGTGGGGTATGGGAAGCTGAGATATTTTATCTCTGCACTACACTGCACCTGCCCATCCATTAATCTGTTTGTATCCTAATCTTTCAATTAGTTTAGCTGTTATATAGTATTTAAGAAAATCTGCACTTTTGTGTCAGTCTGGTATTTAAAAGTTGAATTATGGGCTGTAAAAGTTTTTGGATTTATCCTGTCTCATGGCCTCATCACTGCAAACATAATGTTTGGAAAATGGGACAGCTGTTCATTGTTAACTTTTTTTTTCAGCCAGTACAAGTGACTTTTGCAGCAATGGAACTTGATACTTAAATCTTGAAATAACCAACTAGTGGCTACAAAAGTGTTTATTTTCTAGCAGTGGAATATCTTCTAAATCTCACTGATGCTAACAGTAAGCAGTACTATTGTAAGTGCAATATTAACTGCTTCTGTGCATCAGACTACATGCTAGTTATTGGTAGTAAATACCTTTTTTTATAAACAGTTCTCATCAGGTCAGTCCCTGAATATTTGATATCAAACCCCTTCCCAGTTGCAAAAACCTCAGACTAGTTTGCTATAGAGATGGATGTCTAAGAAAGCACTTTGTGTTGTAATATACTTGAGCAAATCAGTGTTAGCGGTCATTGCTCAGGCTAATCTACTTGAGACTATGCAATAACATGACCATATTGGAACACTTGTACTGCAAGTTGGCAATGTGAAAGTGTAACTGAATCCAATGGACCTGAAATGACTGGAGATTGCATATGCAGGTTCCTCCCATTTGCTGTTGGAATGATAAAATTCACTGGTTTTTGCCTTTAACAAAAGGCTGGATTTGCATAGATCAAATGACATGACATCTGTGAAGAAAACATGAGTTGATGCTTTGGGTTGGGTGGCATTAACACTCTTCCTCCCCAGTATATATGGTAGCAGTCCTTTGTCTTCAGGACAAATCTAATTTGATGATCACACTTTGTAAGAATTGAACCTTCGCACACAGACTCACTCTGATAAACTGATGCTCAATTTTAATACAATTGGCTCTTTTACATGGACATAACAATATGTTTACCCCAACCAATCTATTCTGGCATTCATTCCACTGGATTCATATGTCCTGATAAGACTAATTTATTCACTGGGAAATGAGCTGTGGCTGCCAGTTGAAAGATCTGCCCCACCACACTGTAGATTAAGAAATAAAACTGCAGTTCTGCTAACTGTAAGCAGAATACTGCAAATGCTGGAAATCAGAAATACAAGAAAAAATTTCTGGGTAAGTTTTTCAGCCAATCAGTGCGCGCATAGAGCGAAACCAGTCACAGTTTCAGGTCTGAGACTTCTTTATCAGAACATTTTGGTTAAAGGGTACAGATCTGAAACGTTATCTTTCTATAGAAGCTGCTGGAAATGTTGAACTTCTCCCACCATTTTCTGTATTTATTTGAAAGTACCTGATTGCACAACAATAGAAGTTTCGGCAAGTCATTGGATGTGAAGTGATATCTAGGTGATCCAGTGCAACACTGCCTCCAAACCACCACCGCCGCCCCCCCCCCCCCCCCAAAAAAAAAGAAAAGAAAGTGTCTTTGCATAGAGTACCAAGGCTCCCAAGTGGTTGACCACAGGATTGTGTGTGGTGGCTGGGGACTGTTAATGAATTCGAACCAAAGGATCTGCATTTTCAAGTATGAGGGAGTTGGAGCAAATTCTGCAACAGCAAAGACTGACTGACTGTCTCTGCGTTACAGCAACGTGTGGCTTCAGGTCACTTGGCAAAGACATGCAAGGGGAATATTTCAGAATTTTGTACATGCAAGATCTTGCTCCTGGCAGATAAGCTGAAACTGTCTTGCCTATAACAGTTTGATGTAATAAGGTTTCGGGGCAACTGACTGGAACAGAATAGAATTCTTCACACTGATTTTTAAATCATTTACATATGAAAATTAAAGCAGAGGCTTGGCTGCTCTGTGAATTGGAGATTCCCTAGATAGTCAATACAATAGTCAGGTCATCCTTTTGAAACACCTCCCAGTGATTAACTGTAGCCCCATGTCATGAAATTGTTTTGTTTTTGGAGGGAGGATGGGAGACAGGATTTGAACTGTTTCTTTTTTTGGTCTAATATAGACCGTATACCAATTTATAAAGGATGTATGGATGGAGAAGTATTCATCTGTTAGTTACACTGTAATCCTTTCATCTGGAAGTTTGACCAAGTGGCTGTGACCCATCAATTTGAGGACTTGAGGATGCAGATGTCTTGAGCAAAGTAAACTAACTTTTCTGTTCCTGAAGATGTCTGCTTTCTTGGTGAGGTTGGATGCTTGCAGCAGTTGAAATGAGTTTGCGATTACAAACTCCACTGCATTTCTCAACTTTCAAATATTTAAATAGCTAGCCAACACATTTGGGAAAAGCATGGTAAGTTGCCAGTGTATGTGCAGCTGTACTGCAGCCTGTTGTCTGTACTACAATGAGTAAAAGTTGAAATGAATGTAGGTAGTGATGGCTTTTTCTGGTGGGCTGAAGTCATGTGGAATGTGAAAAATGCAATGTGATGGGTCAGGCCAAACTAAAGCCAGACCAGATATCCTGGTAATTTGACCTTTTTTTCCTCAGTCTGGTTGCCTGACACTCCCACTGTCCCTTTTAAAAGGGACTGATTTATGCCCTTTTCAGGGAACGATATCTGGAATTCTTACCTGGTCTGGCTGCCATGTGATTCCAGACCCTCAGCAATGTGGTTGGCTCTTAACTGCCCTCTGAAATAGCAAGCTGCTCAGCTCAAGGGCAACTTGAGATGAGCAACAAATGCTGACCTTGCCTGCAGCACCATGTCCCATGCAAGAATAAAGAAAGTCCAGACATATTTTTTCTTTTTAAAAAAAAAAAAACAACAAAAAAAAGTAGGCCTTGATTCTCTCTCCAGTTCTGTTCAGGACTGACCCGCGTGTTGGGGTTCTGACTGGTACTGGGCCTAGACCATCCATCCAAGTGACTCGGTGAGTGGTTACAGGATGCAGGAAGAAAAGTAACATGTCATCTTGTGACATCTCTTCTCAAAGGCAGAGATTGAAAGTGAGGGGCTCTGGATATTTTCTGGGGAAAGGGTTTGATTTCTGACTAGTTTAGCCCTTCTTTTTCCTATATATTAAATGGGAAAGCTGAATCCATACCCACTGTTTAATACTGCTCTCCCTCAGTAAATGTCAATCAATGTTTTAAAATTCTTATTTTTGTATCTGTACTTGTACCCTTGTTAATCAGTTTGGGGTAATTCTGGGTTGTTACTGTGGAGATATTAATGCATTGTGTTAATATGAAAAGGTGTCATCTACAACACTATATCCTCCATGACAATTAAAATCCAGCTTTATTTTCTGTAGCATGTACTGTATTGTATGTTTATTATACCTAGCGAATAAAATCACTTGAGAAATGACTGTGTGTTAACTGCTTGTTTTCAGGAGAAATTATTCACGTTATAAAGCATTGCACTTGATAGACTTTGTCCACACACTTCCAGCTCTGTTGTTTTAAGTACATTTGGGATGAGCTCTGTGTTCTGCAATGGTAAACCGGTAATGTTGAAGTCCTATGCAAAGGAGCATATGCAGGCCACCATGCCAACCTTTTGCAGATGGGATGTCAAGCAGATCCTGCTTTGCCCAGGTTAGTGTAAAAGATCCCAAATAGACTTCAAAGTGCAGGATTATTATCCCCCACCATGTCCTGACCGAGACTTAGTCCTCAAGTCACAGAAAAGCAGATTCATGAGTCATTATCACATTGCTTTTGCACAGAAAGCTCCTACAAATAGCATCAAATGCAAATTTGTTAATTCATACTTTCCCTCAACCTCTGATAGGAGGACGGTCTGTTCGACCACTCATCTACTACCATTATGGCTGATGTGAGATGTTATCTTATGATTCTCTTTACCAATTCACTGATGAGCACTCTGTTCACTATACCGCATTTTCTTCCGTTCGTCAATGCTATAACCTACTCGGAACAGTGCCGTCCCTGTCACCGTAACCCAGTCAAAACTATGGAATGATTATAATAGTAATTAGCCCTTAGCAACCATCTCTTGACACCTCCATAGGTTGCAGAACATCAAACAGCTTCCTCCACTAGTATGTACCTTTTAAATACATAAAGTGGTCTGTTACTTTAAGAAACTTACTATCAAAACAGTGCCTCCGTGAAACCACATGAATGAATATGTAAGAATTGTCAAAACCAGCAATAGTAAATTTTAAATCTCAGGACCCAGCTGTGGGAGATCAGTTTAGTATCCTTCATAATTTTATTTAGTATGTGTAATTTCTCACTCCTTTTAGATCATACTTTCTAGTTTAAAATACTAGACCTATCTTTACAAGGGGAGGCAATGGCTAGTGGTATTATCGCTGGACAATTAATCCAGAGATCCAGGTAATGTCCTGGGGACCTGGGTTTGAATCCTGCCCTAGAATATGGTGGAATTTGAATTCAATAAATATCTAGAATTAAGAGTCTAATGACCATGAATCCATTGTTGATTGTTGGAAAAACCCATCTGGTTCCCTAATGTCCTTTAGGGAAGGAAACTGCCATCCTTACCTGGTCTGGCCTACATGTGACTCTAGACCTACAGCAATGTGGTTGACTCAATTGCCTTCTGGGCAATAAATTCTGCCTAGCCAGCAATGCCCTTATCCTGTGAATGAATAAAGAAAAAAATTACTAACTTTGAAGACAAAAGGACTAACCCCTCTTGATTACGCAAGCTCAGACTGGACCGACATTCTAATCCCATCATGAGTAACAGCCAGAATTGAGCAAGTGCTTAAACTATCTCCTGCTTCCCCAGGACAGATGTCATGCAAACTTGTGTACAATTGATACAACTATATGACACCAAGAGGCGACTGTAAAACTGTACTTTGGATTCCATCACCACCTCAAGCTGTGCTATTGTGGATGCTTAAAAAGGCTATTTTTGTAGCTCGCTGATCTCGATGGTTATTGAACATGATCCCACAACCTGGCATGGTCGACAGGATCGCTGGGGACAATGTTGAAACTGACCAGTCACTGACCTTACTCAGAAGGTAAGAAACGTCATTCTTGTCGTGACCTAGTCCCTGAACGTGATCCCAAACCTCCTGTGAGTTGGCCATTTTTCTAATCCCCTCGCACCTAGACCTCAAGTGCTCCAAATTAGCTGAAGTTGCCTGAGTGGCCCCAGTAAGCTGCCTTCGACTGCCAAAGGCAGGCAGGCTGGCCCCTCCTGACAGTGGAAGAAATGCTGCGCAGTTGCAAACTACCTTGAAGTACCATTCTCATTAGGGAAAGCCCTAATGAAAATTGGGAAGAAATACAATATTCCCAAAGGACAGTGGACCCAAGGTGACATGCAGTGGGTCTGGGGAGAAACCACCTGACAGAAAAAGAAGGAGAGAACTAAATTGTCCCTTGACAATGGGAAAAATCTGCTAAAGGAATGAAATCCTGTCTCGATCAGCCCATGATAGTGAATTAAACTGTCATAAACAGCAATTAAATGCAGGGCATGAACAGCTGCAAAAGGAGAGATCAAAATGGGAAAAAGCTGAACTTAGAAATCAGGAGCTTGAGAAGGAAAACATAAAACTGGAGGATGAGATAACTGGGGAAGAAACTGACACGACTGTCTCCAAGCCCATACAGAATTTGTATCCAACTACCTGCGACATCGAGGAAGTGCTTCAGCAAAACCATGCTGTCGTCCTTGGGGAAACAGAGGGACAAAAGTGATGAGGACTGTATATCCCTAGCACCATTTTTATGATCCCTTAAAACCAGGAGGTTAAAAATAGAGGAAGTGATAAGGCAAAGGTTAGAGGACAGTACTGAGGTGGGATGTTCTAGTAAAACAGACCAAAAAACACACCGTGTGGACCTGAGACCCCTGGTGGTCTAAAGAAATGCCTCACCCAAAGAAGGGGCCAATGAAGACATGGGAAAGTCTAGACTGGTTAAGTGGAATATAAATGCTCCATCCCTGTGACGGCGTACAGATTCTGAATGTCATTGTCACTAAAAGAGAAGGGTGTCTTCTCCATGAGGCAGTCAGGTGCTATTGGAGAGTGAGCAGGAGCTGCAAGCTGGCAGGACAGCAATAAAACATTGGTTACAGGGGTATAGTCTGCCTAAGACCCAGTGGATGAAAGTCACAACTTGCTGTCAAAAAGCTACAGAGCAAGTCCCAGAATATGAGGAAAGATTTTGGATAACCTGGAAAGAGTGTACAGGACGATAGGGATTTTGATGGTTTTGATTATGGCCTGCTGAAGTCTGCTTTTGTGCCTGGACTTAAACCTGAGCTTGCTAAGATGCTAAAGCTCATCAAACCAAACTAGGACCAGAGAGGGACTAATTATTATGAGCTGGTGGACCAAACCCACTGGCTTGACTGAGGTATGAGCACCAAATGGGACAGACCCCCAGAAAGACCCAAGACAAATGCCCAGGGAAGTATTACGTCAGTGCAAAGGAAGGTCCCTGGGCCAGGGGGTGCCAGCAAAGGGGAAAAGGATGAAGTCACCCAATAAGGAAGAGGAGAGCCTGAAAACTGGGAGTAAGACTGATCTGCTAGAGCAGTTTAAAGAGTTAACCACCCAGCAGGAGCTGCTGAAGATGACAAAAAACCTGAGAGAGCCTGCCCTGTGCCCCTCTACGCTCCTATTGGCTTTATGCCAGCAGAGGGGAGACAGACTGTATGTGACTCTAAGGTTGGGTGACCTAGCCACTGAGTGCGTTTTGGACACAGGAGCATAGTTGATATACCTACCCGAGAAGTATGAGATCAAACTCCTGCTAGACGGGACAGTGAGAACAGCTTATGGAGCAGGAACTGACAGGATCGAAATTAAAAGGACCAAAACCATGCATGTTGCATTCAGCCCCCTGTTAATTAGTAACCTCTGTATGGATGGGACCTGTATCCCAGCTGTTCCTCAGAATGGATATCCTTACCCATCTTTACATTTCAATGATGGACGGATAACGTAGTCGATCAGAACCCTACAAAGGGAAGAATGAAAATACCCACCCCATCTGGGCTAAAGACAACGACAACTGTCGGTTACTGCAAATAGAACCTGCAAGTTTAACAGGAGTATCTCCACCCTGCACTAAACAGTACCCCATCAGCCTGACGTCTATTGCAGGAATCCTCCCGATATTTCAGAGTTAGAGGAAAAAGGGATTTTGGTAAAAGCCCACAGCACCTCTAACAGCCTGATGTGGCCTGTGCGAAAGGCAAATGAGGAATGGAGATTAACTATAGATTACAGGAAAACCAACCAATGCATTGATCAATAGGTCCCACTAATAGCTGACCCCTCTACTATGTTCAGTGCCTTAACACCAGACAACGAGTGCTTCTCAGTCATAGATATGATTAATGGCTTCTGGTCAGTACCCGTAGCACCTGAAGTATAGTCGTGGTTTGCCTTTACTGTACGGCAACAACAGAACACATGAACCACAACAGCCCAACTGTATACATATGGTCTTACAAAACCACCTCTGCAAAATGCTGCCAATCGAGTCACTTATCATTCAGTACATGGATGTTACAATGATAGCCTCCAAAACAGGAGATAGACCTTAAGACCCTCCTAAACCACCTGCAACAAAAAGGTCATGAGGCCAGTATGGAGAAGGCTCAGATCGCCCAGAAGCAGGTAGTCTGTCTAGGTCCGTGAATCTCCCACAGAGAAAGAGAAATTCCAAAGTCAGACTGCAGCCATACAGGCTGCTAAACAGCCTACAGCAATTTGAGAACTGAGGGTCTGTACAACTTTAAGTGGTGCTGTGTTGAGTTGTATACCTAACTACCCCAGCCCCTGACAGATATCCTGAAGGGGAAACAGGACTCGAAAGAACAAACTGCATGATAAAGGAACAAGCCCTCCAGGACTTAAAGAGAGCACTTTGACTGCACCAGCATTGGGGATCCCCACTAAAGAAAACCCCTTTACATTATTTGTCCACGAGGTGGAGGCCTATATGACAGCGGTGCTGGCCCAGGACTACAGAGACAAAGTGAGACCTGTTGGGTATTACTCAGGGAAATTAGACAGTTTGGCCCTTGGATTGGGTGGGGTGGTCTGTTTGAGAGCCGTGCAAGCTATGTGCGTGGTGGTGGAAGTTACTGTAAGTCTGGTGTTGGATCGGAGATTAATAGTTAAATATCCGCATGCCATGAACACTTTGCTGTTTACGAACAGAGTATCCCAGGTAAATGCTGCCCAGTGGACTTGACAGATAGCAGTCCGAGAAGCCCCTAATCTGTAAATAGTTCATGTGAGCCTGGTCAATCCAGCCACTGATGCCTGCAGAAGGGCAAGAAGATTGTGCTAAAATCCTGCAGGAATTGGAGGACAGTAACCAAATGATGAACGAGGC